ATAAACGAACTACTGCTTTCTATCATTTCCGTGGCCTTTTCCTCGCGTCTCGTTCTCGTGTTCCAGTGCTTCTGCGATCCAGTCCGTGATAGCTGGTTATCGATTCGGGTCCCGTAATTCATATTGCGTGGTTGGTGCTCCGAATTCCGTGCGCATTACTACTACTACTACTACTAAAATCTTTACAAATAATGTGACTAATTCACTAGGAGTGGCTTTCATCAGGTCGTCGTGCTGCTCACAGATCTTGCGTTCATCGGCAAACGTTCAATCTTTTCTCTCCAGCAACTTCCGTTGAAGAGTCAAATTATTGATGCCTGCCACCAAGCGGTCGCACATTTGTTCCTCCGCGCAATCACCGTGGTTGCAACGTGATGCCTTTTTGTTCAGCTGCAGGAGGAATTCACCGCAGGAAACATGATCGGCACGATTCATGGAGTTGAATTTGGCCCTTTCGTGTGCTTGTAATTCAGTGGGCAGCAGGTGGTTGAGCAGCAGCGTTTTCAGGGACTCGTATGGTAGTTTAGCTGAAGCCTCAGGGAACGCCGAGTTCCTCAACAGGCAGTAGAGGTCAAGGCCGCCAGCAGTAAGAAATAGGGCTGACTGATTCTGTGTACCACCTTTGCGGATGCTGCACCACAGCTCGAACCGTTCGATGCGTTCCTCGATCTCGGATGGACTTGCTTGCAGGTTTAGTTGCTCAATCGTTTGGCGCTCCATCAGGCAACGCCGATTTGTAATGATTGTAATGATAGTAGTAGTACGCACGGATTTCGGAACACCAACCACGCAATATGAATCACAGGACCCGAATCAATAATCAGCTATCACGGACCGGATGCCGAAGCACTGGGTGCAATGGCACGGGTTCGCAATGTCCCACGCGAACGATACGCGATGAAAAAGCCACAGGAATGGTAATAACCAGTAGTTCATCTATTGAAAGTAACGGGGGCGATTAAATATGTACAAAAGACGATTATTGGTTGTCTAAGCTTCCACCAATGGGATTGCAATACTTTTTGCATAATTCTGCTTCTTTCTGCACTGTCTTGGATTTGCTGGCGCCAACCACGAATGACGTGTATTCAGAAGCCACGCGCGTTTCATTGACGTCAGCATTCGAAATTGAATGATCGCCAATGTCCTGAAACTGTAATGCGCCGTTCCAGGGTAGGCGCCATCGTGTAGACCTGGATCACCACACATCCTCAGATCAAACAGGAGAAATGCTTTTTCGGATATTTATAGACAATGTAGTTGTACGTTTCGGCATCCCGGAAAATGTCATTACCGACCAGGAAACGTGTTTTGAATCCAAGATTTTTCGGGAGACCTTAGATCGCTGGGGCATCAAACGAACCAGAACGTCGCGGGCCAACGGAATGACAGAACGATTCAACAGAACAATGAAGGAATGGCTCAAAAACCATCGCGGTGATTGGGAAGAAAGCCAATCGGAAATCCTATTTAACTACAGAACGACTTCTCATTCGACAACGGAGATACCACCCTACGAATTCATATACGGTAGAGAACTCAGAACTCCTCTGAATGCGTGTCTCGGAAAATCTGGAGAACAACTTTCCACGAAAGACCGAGACAAGCTGAAGAGTGTAGCGGTTCAGAGAACAAGGTAAACCCAGCAGAGCAAGGCAAGGTACGAAAAAGAACACCGATCACATAAGAGGCAGCCGTTCGTACAGAAACAGTTGGTGAAAGGTAAGAATCAAGGCAGATCCGAAACAAAAGGACCAGGGGCCAGAAGGTTCAAGCAGAGGTGGATAGGACCATTGTCTGTTAAATCGAGTAAATACGCCAGCTTTCGAGAGAATCAAGCTACCCCATCGACATCGGTATACGGAGAAAAATGGAGCCTTCTTACACGCGCGCCAATAAAATTAAAAAAAAGGCGAGCATGATGGAAGGCGGTACAAAGAGAGCCACGGCTAGCGAACGAATCAAGAATCGAGCCCATCCAACCAGATGCGCAGACGTAGTGGCTGGAAGTACTTCGCGAGACAATGTCGACTATCACTCGAAACGGACGAATTGATAATTACAGCCTGACGGACAATCCGCATCTAACCACAAAGATATTCACTGAATACCACAACTTCGGAGCTGTCCATCAACGGATCTCGCGCTACGATAAGATCAAACCAGTCGGAACGGCACGCGGAAGAAGAGGTAGCGTACGTGCCAAGCGCGGACCAAAACCAACACGGTGACCAACAGAGTGAGGCATGAATCATCCTGCCGCGCGGTTAAGAATTGATTGTATATAATTGAACGCAGACACCGGTTGTTTTTGAATTGGATCAATAAACGTTTGCCAGCCGATTCGCCTTCTCGCTACATTGGTGCCGTCGCCAGGATCAGCACAACGCAATAAAGGTTCCTTGACCGAACGCGTTCGCAGACGGAGATGTGGAGAATTGGATTCGCGATTTTGAATTAATCGCATCATGCAACGGCATCAAAGGAAATGCGCATCTGGTCACCGCGTTGGGTGCACTGCTTTCCGGACGAGCGAGGGCCGCTTGCGATTTGAATCTGGAAAGCAAACAAGCCCTGGATTATGAGAAATTGAAAGCTGCGCTGGTGGAAGAGTTTTCAAAGGAGGGTGACCGCGAGAAGGCAATTAATTGGTTTTAAGCTGCGGAGTACAACCGAACTGAGGACCCGTTGGGGCACTACCAATACATAAAGCGACAAATTTCTTTTTAGGAGCAATTCCGAAGGCAACCCCATCATAGATGTATCGTTGTTTAACGGTTTTCAGTCATACTATATGCACAAGAAAAATTGTGAGATGTTTTACTATTATATCACATTAAAAGTGCAGTCTAACAGAAAAGTTTCAAATGAACCAATTCTCGTTCACTAGGGTGAGATTTTCTGCTCAGTCATACGGAAACCCTGCTGAGAAGTCTGATATCAGAGAGTCGATTACGGTGTTATACCATCCGGGATTGGGCGATGACCGTTGTATTACGCCGTTCTGAAGTATAGCAAGCTGCCCTCAGCTACCCCAAATTTTCTCCTTGGTTGACCTGTCGGATCAACAACCGCTCGTGAATCGGTTCGATTCCAAGAGGATCCTGTAGATATGCCCTGCGTCTGATTCCCCAGTGGAACGGAACACCTATACCGTGCTCGAAAGTCTTTTAGTTTTGAATGGCACTTTGTCTCATCTTGATCGATATGCCTTCATAAATAAAATAAATAGTTATATCGAGAATATGAAATGCACAATTCTGTTCCCTTATCCCAAAGCTCTTAGATCGATTTTGAATTACTTTTAAACAGCTGCTCCTTTAGAGAATGGAATAGAATTCAATAGCATTCTATTTACAACACTAGCACAGCTGTAAAATGTGGTGGAACTACACTTTCTTTTTGACAAAACACTAGCAATCGATCAGGAAAAGTCCTTCGCGAATTTCTGGGGAAGCTATTTAAAGAAATTGCGTTACGCTCCGACGAGTGACACGATAGCAGCGTAGGATTCCAAACGCATCTTCTATTTTTAGTGAATGGATTTATTACCTGTTCTAGCGCGCTAGGAAGAACATATGGTAGACAGACCGGGCGATAACCGGCTGACAAATTAACCAAACTAAATCGATGATTCGACCCGACCAATCGATTTATTTTCCCAATACCTTGTTCCTACCTTACAGCGCTCTGACATACATTTTGCGGAGTATAAAAATTGTTTATCGATCACCTTCTGAGCCATGCCAGTCAAAGACTAGACACCAACAGATCAGTCAAAACACAGTTGAACTAATTTCCACTTTGTTTGCTTAGCCTAGATGCGCATCATTTATTAATTATCGGAAAGAAGAAGCGTGATGAGAAACAATCATTCTTTTTCTCTAACTGACCGAAAATTTTGTTGCGAGAAAATTGGATTCTGTGTACAGCGACATTTGAAACATTAAACGAGTTTACTATACATGGAACACAACAAGCTAAGAAAGTATTTTTCAACTTGGAATTTTCCTTCGATTCCAGCTATGGCAAGAGAATAATCTCTCCGAAAGTATTTTGTTCCTTAAAAAAGGGCCTCGCACTTAATTTGAGTAGGTTGATTTAATTCCCACTACCTATTCGTCCCAACACCCACCATTTCGCGATTCGCAACGAGGTTTCAGTTTGCACAGTTTAGGCACCGGTTTTTGTTACTAACTGGATCAAAAAGGAAATCAGTGAAAGCCTGGAGGAAGCGGGCATGCACAATGCGGACCAAATTATATAATTTTTTGGAAGTTGAGTTCATGCTAGTGTGATGGAAGGTGGTACAAAGAGAGCCACGGCTAGCGAACGAATCAAGAATCGAGCCCATCCAACCAGATGCGCAGACGTAGTGGCTGGAAGTACTTCGCGAGACAATGTCGACTATCACTCGAAACGGACGAATTGATAATTACAGCCTGACGGACAATCCGCATCTAACCACAAAGATATTCACTGAATACCACAACTTCGGAGCTGTCCATCAACGGATCTCGCGCTACGATAAGATCAAACCAGTCGGAACGGCACGCGGAAGAAGAGGTAGCGTACGTGCCAAGCGCGGACCAAAACCAACACGGTGACCAACAGAGTGAGGCATGAATCATCCTGCCGCGCGGTTAAGAATTGA